CCAAATGTTTAAAAATAAGTTCGCAAACCAGCATAATTTATGTTGATCATCAATCAATCAATCAATCAATCAATTTTATTTAGCACCATTATTTCAATTGGGTTATTACATTAAATATTTGGATCCTGATTTGGGTGCAAGCTAGCAGCAGTAACCATTAGGTTAGACGAGGCAGCTAGCTTAATAAATAAATATATTTCCATTTCCAATTAATTTTAATTTTTAAAGCACAGAAGTATAACTTGAAGGTCAAAAATTGTTCATATATAAATAAGTAATTCACTATTACTAGTACCTTTCTTATAGCTATTCAAAAAAAGAGAAAAAACAAAAGGAAGAGAAAAAAAGAAAATTTTGTTCAAATATAATTGCATGTAATTATTAATTTGTATTTTTAATTTTGTTTTGTTAGTTCTGACAATCATTCCTTGTATTTTTGCAGTAGGAATTTTCTAACTTCAGCTTTGAATTTTGATGGTTTAAGTTTCTTTATTTCATCATCAATTTAATTCCATACCTTTACGCCCGAAAAGCGTATATTAAATTTCCCATAATTTGTTCTTATCTTTGGAATAGAATAAGTCAGTCTTGAAGCAAATCTGGTATTATGATTATGTTTTTCTTTTACAGAAGTAAAAAAAGTATGAAATATTTCTGGCAAGTTTCCATTATAGAAATCATGCATAAATGCTGCATTCCAATAGAAGACAAGATCATGCATCTTGAATATATTTAATTTTATAAATAAAGGATCTGTATGGTCATAAAAATTTGAAAAGGTCATTAATCTAACTATTTTTTCTGCAAAATAAGCAAATGATCGATGGATGAAGCATAGGTGTTTCCCCAAACCACTAGTGCATACGTTAGAAATGGGTAAATAAGGGAATAATAAAGGTTCATGAGTACATCAATATTAACAAAATGCCTTATTTTGGATATTGCACCTATATTGCGTTTAACCTTTTTCGATATATTTGACACATGCGATTTCCAATTTAAATGACAGTCAATTGCTACACCCAAGTAAGTGGTAAAATATTTTCGTTTAAGCATTTGATTATTTAAGAAGACTTTAATTTCGTAGTTAAGCTTTCTCTGGACGGAGTGAAATATGATATAGTTTAATTTTTCAATATTTAAGGACAACTTATTAGCACAAAGCCAACGATAAACTTCTGCGTTAACCCTTGTTTCCAGCCTTGACAAACTCTTATCGGAGCAGAAGAGATTTGAGTCATCAGCAAAAAGGTGAATATCAAGATCACTAGTAGTGTTTTTCATATCATTAATAAATAAAAGAAAAAGTAGAGGGCCAAGAACAGAACCTTGTGGCACCCCACAGGTAACATCTAGTAATCGTGATGAGACACCTCCTATTGAAACAAATTGTTTTCTATTATATAAATAAGTATCAAAGGCCTTAGATAAATCTAAGAAAATACCACACAAGTAGTAACCATTTTCAACAGCTGTTTGTATCTGATCAGTAATCGAAAGTATTGCATGTAATGTAGAATGTTTTGCACGAAAGCCGAATTGCTTATTGTATACGATATTGTGTTTATCAATGAAACAACTGATTCTGTTAAAAACAAGTTTTTCTAACAATTTATTGAAAATTGATAGCAAAGAAATCGGACGATAATTATTACAATGCATGGTTGAACCTTTTTTGTGTACAGGAATTACTCTAGACATTTTAAAGCAATCCGGGACACAACCAGTTAGCAAAGAGCTATTAAATAAAATTTCTAGAGGTTTGCAAATAATTCCCTTAATTAGTTTTAAAATATTTACCGGCATACTAAAAGGACCAGCGGCTTTTGAAGAGTTTAGTTTATTAATTTCTATTTCAATTTCGTCAGAGGTTATCGGATAGAGAAATATACTATTCATTTGCCTTGGCGGCATATACGATATTGGGGACCCACCTTCATAGGGTACAGATACAGCCAGATTATTTCCTACATTAGCAAAAAATGTATTGAATGATTGTGCAATCGATGTACTATCACTCAACACAGATCCTTCCTCCATAATTTGAGATGGTATACCACCGCCAACCCTCGGTTTAGTACTTATAATTTGTTTAATTCCTCTCCATATATTCTTCATGTTTTTATTATAATTATTTATAGTAAAGTAATTATTATAGTAGTCTCTTTTGCTTATTTTGATCAATCGATTTAGTCTATTTCTATATAATTTGAATTTTGAAAAAGAATACGGGGACCTTGTATTTATATATCGTTTATAAAAAATATTCTTTATCTTTAATGAAGCTCTGATTCCTGTTGTTATCCAGGGTTTAGCCATATTTTTAATAGTTTTCCTACTCAATTGCTTTAAAGGGATATGGTTATCAACTATTTTCATTAAATCAGAATTGAATTTGTCAAACATGCTATTAACGTTATTATCTAAAGTTTCCAAATTCTAATTTATAGCCTGAACATCGCGAAGAAAACTTTGTTCGTTGAAATGATCGAGTGTAATCCCTTTTATACATTTTATAACCTTTAGGTAATGTGGTAAAATTATTGACAATCAGGAAATTTGGAAGATGGTCAGTTAGATCATACACTATATTTCCACTAATTGTATGGTGAGCAATCGAGTTAAAAAACACATTATCAATTAAAGTAGCCGAGTGATGAGTAATTCTAGTCGGCTGCAAAATATGGAGACTGAAAAAGTTAGAACCCAATATATTTAAAAATTCCTCTGTACCCGAATGTGAATCTGAGTTAAGCAAATTTAAATTGAAGTCTCCCATTATAATGCAGCAGTTATTTTCTCAACTTATTGTATCCATAACCTTGTTTAAATATACCAATAATGCTTCAAGATCACTATTTGGATGTCTATATATCACCCTGCATATTAAATCATAATTAAAATTGCTCTGAATATTTACCCATATACATTCATAATCATTTGTAGATACTGACAGATCATTTCTTACATGAAAACTTAATTGATCAGAAACAAAGAAACCTACACCACCTGCATTGGATAGACTAGGTTGTGATACAAAACAATAACCTGGCATACTATGAGCATACTGGATATCTTCAGAAACTTTGTATTTAGTTTCTGTTAAGCCGATCAAAGAAAAGGAATGATTGACTTCCGCTAACATTTGCATTAATCCATCAAAATTTGCATTCATGCTTCTCATATTAGAATGCATAACCGAGAAGTAATTCCCTAAGAAGCAATTGGCAATATCATAACTATTTGCATGTAAAATCAGACATGGTTTAATAATTAAAATTTGTTTGCAAAGGTATATTTAAATCAGGATCCAAATTAGAAGTCATAGAACAAGAGTTTAAAGTCTTTAACAAATCTAATTGTGGTAAGGATCCACTATCAAAATCAAAATCAAAAGCCATTGTTAGTCAGTTGTACAGTATACACAATTACAATCAATATCCTGCACAGCTGTAATTAACTTGGCAGGCGTGTCAGAATTTTTTCGCAAATAGATTCTTCCTTGATTTGTCCAGATGAATTTATAATTGAGGGACCGCCTTGCATCGAGGCATTTCTTAAATAGTTCTTTATTCTTACTTGTCAAGCTTTCTGCGATATAAATCTTGTTATCAGAGATTCTACCAAAGCCAATGTCTGAAGTAGTTTTATCTTTCAGATGTTTCCTAGCATAATAAAGCCTATCCCTTGTGGTCCAGCTTACAAATTTCACAATGATTGCTGGTGTTGAGTTTCGCGTCGGCGTTCTCGATCAATACTTTTTCTATGCAATGCAACATTATTACTACACTGAATCACACAGTGTAATCAATTTTACCATTGAAAAACTAAATTTTTCAAAATTATTGATAAACCTGGTATTCTTTGATTATACCACTGGTATTCTGTACCGATTTTAGTGTTTAAAATTAACTTTCACTAAATTAAGTTAGCAATATCCCACAGTATTATCATACAACATGACACACCAAATCCTGGTACAATTTGATAAACCGTTGCTTACTTACCTCCGCACTGGTATTCTGTGGTACATTGGATTTTTTTCCACAGAATATTCATTTAAAAAAAATAATTAAGTTTATGAAATCTTGCCCCAAAACCCCCAGGAAGAAAAAATATATCGATAGACTATACTAAAAAATATCAAGGAACCATATTATATACATTAGACAAAAGATATGGCACATGTAAATTTTTGCGGTATTCTGTGGTACATACACCTAGTGTATAACAGCTCTTTTTTAGTCCATAATATAGTCTGTCGTCTCTTTTTAAGGAATTCATGTCACCTGTCGGTCATAACCCCTTGGTGCCAACAAAATCTTGGTAGTTTAAAGAGGCCCATGTCACTCGATTGAATAACATTTGAAGGGTATATATTTGTACATGGAAATTATCGAGTGAAATTTCTATACATTAATTTATTAGACCCATTACCAACAGCAGCAAAAAATGCAACTTTAGGTCCCTGGCGGAATCGAACCTGCGGTCCTGTGATTCCGGTGCAGCACTCTAACCAACTGAGCTACAGAGGTCCGAGTTGTCGAGCTCTGACCACAAGTTCATGTACATTATTTATTTTTACTATATATAGGGAACTGCCATGTATAAGCTAAAGTTATGGGTAAATATCAAGATTTTGTTGGCATCTCACTCGATTGAATTTATAATATAGTTAAAGGGTATTGTATATGGAAATTATCGAGTGAAAATTTATATGCATAATACATTTATTAGACCTAAGTCACCTACCAGGTTTACTGTGATCAAACTGATTTCCTTTATATTAAATAGTAGCTGGTAGGAATCCAACCAGCGGGCTGCGGCACTGTGATTCCGGTGCAGCGCTCTAAACTACCTAATATCAAGAATTGTTTAGCTATTATAATATAATAAACGTTTAGCTATTATAATATATATTCATATACACTTATTTACTGACCTATTTGAGTATTTCTTGACTTTTTCTTTTTGTCCTTTCCAGTTTTCACCATCAAACAATGCCTGGTCATTGCGCTTACATGAAGTATTCTACAGGAGCAAAACAAAACAAAAATACAAAATGGCGTAAAATGGCAAGAGAAAGATATGCAAATACGTTGCCGTTTTGTGGTGTGAAAGACGGGCACGATGCCATCGTTGTTGCCATTCACACCTTTATGATAGAGGCTGGATATAAATGCATTGGAATTGGGGAAGAGGTTTGCTTTTTGCGCCTTAATTTACAGTTTATATAGACCGTTTACGATTGGGAGTTTCATGTACACCGTATACTCAGTTCATGTACAGTACCGTATACTTCATCTTTGCATTTTGTTTATGGCTAAGAAGCCAATGTTGATTTTGATCTTGAAGTTTTAAATGAATTTTTGATCATATATAAAGTGAATGATGATTTTTGTAGAACAATATTAAATGTACTAAATGAATATCAAAAGTGAAACTGAATTACTGAAAGTCCATGCACGGATGCACCTATGTTATGAATTAAATGAAATTTATTTAATATTAAAGAGCTTCAGATTTTGACTTCTGCTACTGTGACCATTAACCAATCAGTTGCATTTATTCTACCCAATTAACCAATCAAATGCATATTAAGGCTGTGAGAGGTAGCACTATTAAACTAGTAGAAGTAGAAGTCAAATCTGAATAGGACTGTTCGGTATACCGATATACCGAAAATATCGGTATTAAATCAATATTGGTATATCAATACCGGAATCAACCATACCGATATACTGAAATTTCGGATATACCGGAATTTTTCGGTATACCGTGTTAAACTTACCAAGGCATAAAAAAAAATACCTGTGGTTCCGGTTCCCGATCGACCCTATTTTTTTCCGCCGACCCTATTATTTTTTCAACGCAATTGACCGTTCGACCCTATTTTCTCCAGGTGGCTGATGTTTTCCAGAAACAATCATGATGTTTTCCAGGGGAATGTGGGGAACGCCATCCTCCCATTATGTTCACTGATGGAACAGCATTCCCCTTGTCAAAACTTAAGGAGTTAACAATGACACATGGACAGAAGATGCTGTTTATCTTTAATTAAATTATATATAAAATCTGCAGACATGCATGTTTCAACATTCTATGCCTCATTAGTGCAGCTTGATACACATCTAGATATGCAATGACCACCATATATAAATACTCATGAGCTTAATTGCTCTCACCAAGCATGTGTAGTACAACACAGTGACATCAATGCACCATACATGCATGCACAAAGACCACAAGGGAAGTGAGCTTTGCATTAATCCATTGAGTGGCAGCACTCTCCCACTGACAAGTAAAATTGTCTGGCGTATGTTGGACAGAGTAAAATAATCTGGTGTTCGACAGAGTTAAATAATAAAATATGGCGCACCTTGGCGCATTGCCAATTAAAGGGTCAAGTGACAATGTCCAATTAAACAACCATGCCCATTTAATTTTCACAAGCATTCCCCCAATTCTAAAATTTGGAAAACATGGCCCATGAAGTAAATGAACCCCATGCATATGACCTTGCCAATAAAGACTTCATAAAGGTAATTTCCTGATATACCCTGGCTGGTACCGGAGTCACTGGACAGTTTTGAAATTGCACACCTGAGATCTCAGAAATTTAGTTAATGTAGTAAACTTCACAGGTGCATACCAAAGATCTTGGTTCCACAATACAGTGGAAGATATAACAGATAACTTTTTAAGTTTATATGTTCTAGATTCCTGAGTCTGCTCGCGATATTTCTACCGAAGGCTTACCACAAGGATGGAATGGTTCTCCAGACTTTTATGCCATACAATACAAACTGCCAAGTTCATACCAGAAAAAGTTTTTGTTGAAAATATTACGTCTGGGGACTAGGCTTGCCGTTCATTTACTGGTTAGTTTCATGAAATATGATTAACCCATCAATGTACAAGACACTGCCTTTGATAAGTAAAATTGTCTGCTGTTTGACCAGGTGAAATTATAATAAGGTAGAGTAAAATGGAGTGCAAATTTGCAGCTGTTGACAAGAGGCGATTCATGTGATAGTTTGGTTGACCCATTAACCCATTGAGCTGGCGCTCAAGTTATTCTCTTGATAATTGAGTAAATTAAGTCATCTGGTGTTATAAACAGACTATAGTAAAGTATGGCTCATGTAAATGCCAATGGGTTAACTAGACGCATGGACAGCTTGTTTCAGTGTTCGATCTCCTCTCTACGAGTAAAATTGTCTGGCATTAGAGAGAGTACAATAATAAAATAGGGGGCACATGCATGCAACTTACAGTAATAGGCTAACTAGACACAATGGATAGATAGTCTAATTAACCCATTGAGTACCAGTGCTCTCTCCTTGACGAGTAAAATCGTCTGGCATTAGAAGAGTAAAATAATAAAATAGGATTCAATGCAACTTAATGGCTTAATCCGGCCATTGCATGTTAAGGGTCGGGCATGCGTGTTGCTTGTCTTTTAAAACATTAGTAATACCGTAATTTTTGCTCTATATATCAGGATGTAGATAAGGAAACAAGTTACGATCTGACCATTGACACAACGGATTATGTTACCGCAGATAAAGACGAACTGTTACGGAACCTCTATGACTATCCACAGTAAGTTGAATGTCGCTGCTTGGGGTTGGAGCTCTCTCCTCCGCAGAGGCTTTTATAGTTGTCTTATATGATTTATCACGATGAGATGCATTTCAGTACACTTTACATGGCGGCCGATCTTGGATCCAAGATCCGCCACGGTAAAGTGTACTGAAATGTATCTCATCGTGATAAATAATATAAGACAACTATAAAAGCCTCTGCGGAGGAGAGAGGTGTTGGAGTGCTAGCGGCAGCAGGAATAGATTCAGCAAGGTCTGGTAAGGGGGAGGTGATCGAGTCCTCCCTTCCCCCATTGACCTTTAGGACCACCCTAGAGAGATAGTCCGATTAACCCATTAAGCATCAGCACTCTCCCCTCAGAGAGGGGTTAGGCAACTTAATTATGTTTGAAGCAAAATCGGGATTATTCATAATAATTAAAGACATTATCTGGCTTTAAATCAAAGAACGTCTACAAATTTATTATAAATTTTACAAGTTACATTAATATGTTTATTTAGAGTTGTAAGGAGATTTGAACAACTTGAACAGATCTTTAAATCGGACATCACGAATAAAATGAATGTGGAAAAAGAAACGAAAACAGAAACACGACCATCCAGGACGCGAAACGTGCCCCATGCTCAAAACGAACCAACCAGGTACTATACCTACAGTACTGTAGACGATCTTTAGTAATTAAGCCACACGATAATATATTGGCTAGTATGGCTACCAGTATTCTACTCTGAACAGCACAGCAAATAATATATCATTAGTCACAATAATCGTAATCTGAGTTCAATCTGCCTTTTCATTGTCCGAAAAATCTGCCCTTTCTATCATTGGTCCAAAAAACACCTGGATTTCCCTACCCTAGTACCCTATTTCACTTTGAACGTTGAAAATTTCCTGCAAATAATCAAGTAAATCAATGCAATTTTTTATCTCCAATTCAAGACCTGTTGTTTATCCTGACGATCCCTTAAGAGTTCCGCCAAGACGTCCACAAGGTTCACGAGGGCGGTAGGTATTCTCAACCAAGTGACAGCTTAATTTTTAAGTATAAAGGTAATGCATATTAAATGCTTTTGTTTGTCCTTGATATTTTTAGACCAGTCATTTTCGGATAAGGATTTTTTCCATTGGTTTACGCTATTTGGGAGTTCAAATCAAATCAATTTATTCAGCCACAAAATAATTACAGCAAAAAAATAGAGAGAGAGTTAATGGCAATTAAGATAGCCCAAGAGAAACCATGCAATATAGGCTTATAATATTGGGCCCCTTTATCTTACAAGATTGATCAAATAGATCCGGAAGGAGCTTTACTACAGTGGGTGAGATACCAGATTACATTTCAAAAATGAAGTAAAAATAGTTAATTTAAAGTAATGTCCAATATAACTAAAATTAATTAAGTTGATATATTAAATAAGTATTTTTTGGTGGAAAAAATTGACAAGCTGAAGACGGTCGTACAGACAATCTATTTTCTCCTCCACCACGCTCTTGAGAGTGCAGATTTTTAAAAACCTAGCTCTAGTCAAGTGAGATAAACTCGAACAATCTGTACCAGCATAGGTAGTAATAAAAACACCAGAAAATTGAGTTGAATAGGGGGATTCAACTACGTGAAAAAAATCAAGTAAAACATTGACGTTTCGAACAAATACCCGACAAAGGGCCTTCGTTAGTTGAATCTCTATCCAACCCAATTTTCTAGCCAAGTGAACTCTTTCTCACAAAGCAAATACATTCTGAACAGCATAGTGCTCAGGCATTCAAATTATAACAATAGGATAATTTCTATAGAGGGTACTTTTTTGGGGGACACCCTGTATATCAGATGTTAATTGTTGCGTTTGTTTTAGGGATCCTTTAATTCTTGATCCACGTGGTTTTGGGGACCCCGACCTTTTACCCGGGCATCCAGGGTGAGTATTTGAGGAGTTCAATAAAGTATTGCATTGCACTTGTCTTGTACAATGGCCCTTACTGAAAAGGGCAGTTTCGAACTGATACATGGAGTATAAAGCCGCTCAAGACGTCGGTTAGAAACATTTGGAAAAGTTTAACCTACAGTATACTTATCAATTGTTTTGTTTTGTTTTCTTAGAGCCGGTGGAATGTTTATGGATCCATTTCATCAGCGCCACAGGAGGCCTGAGGGTGACTTTGGTTATCCAGGACTGCCAAGGTACACAACAGTAGGAAGAATTTTAAACATCAACAAAATCAGCTTACGCTTGTTTACACCAAGACCGTATCGCTAATAACGTTTTCAGTAATAATAGTCTTTAAATCGGAGTCAAACTACGAAAGTTCGGCACACTTCTCGTCATAACTTAAGATTGTTTTTCATTTTGTGTTTTTTTTCAGAGGGGCAGTACCTCCAGGGGCAAGATTTGATCCATTCGGCCCAGTCCCTCCTGATGGCGGAATGGGAGGAAATCCTCGTTCAGGGAGATTTGGCAGGTAATTTTTCTTTTTTTGTATTCACTTGATTTTAACTTGGGCCCTTCACTTTGGATGGAGGATTTGCAGTTTCCTTTTGAGTTTCGTCTGGAGATTGTACAATTTTTGTTTTAAACCTTTCCTCAGAACACTACTACCCGTAGCTCCCTCTAGTGAGTTTGGGAACGTCAATGAAGTGATCATATAAGTGCCTCTCTGAGCCCAAGAAAAAATTTTGGTCGGGCAACATTTAATCCGTGCCGTATTTTCTTTATAGACCTGATCCTGACCACTTGCGACCTCCAGGCTTTGAAGACGACATGTTCATGTAAACATAGTAACAGTTTAATTATAACACAGCAAATGTTTTATGCAAAATTTATTGCTTACATTTAAATACAATAACTTAAAAACTATTCTAGTTAAGAATTACTATAAGCATTAAAAATTGGACTACATTTCACATTGTTCCTAACTCAGTAGGGCATTTTCTAGTACAGCGAAAATCATAAAAATATTCGCTTCGAGGCTAGCCAAAATTTAATTGAGAACAATGTGTATGTGAGACCCTATTTACGTCTAGAGCAAAAAAATCGGATTCTCTATACAGTAGTTTCAACGATTCGAGCGTTCACATTTATCGCATTAGTATGAAGTGGCTCTGTTAATACATGCTCAAAAAAGTTTAAGACGAGTGAAAGCACTAAATTCTAAAAGCCACCGGGTAAAGGTTTGAATTCGTCGAGGTAATCGTTCACACGTCCAAGTATATCTCGCAAAGTCTCTACTTTTTTCTGGATTCAAAGTTAATACGGATACAGTTCAAAACGTATAATTTGCTATTCGTCGTTGCGTGCCTAAACGACAATATAAATTGTCTGGTATTGAAACATTCAAACTCTTTTGCTCTGGTGTAAATACGATCCGAATTCCCTGTACGACAGGGACAGTGGAATTTTGGAGAAGAAAGCACAGTGTACAGCCCTTCGGCTTCGTCTGTTCTTCGGACTACGGTTGGCCTAGCCCAAAGGACCAATTTCGCCTCAGACGTTTCAATAACGCCTCCTTGGGTTAATTCTAATTTTTAGCTTTCGAATGCAATACATGCAAACACAAGCTGGTTTTGGAATTATTATGTTTGATCAATAATAATATTTTCTATTTCTTTCGAGTAATGCCATTAGTACTAGCTACTGTATAATATATAGTTAATTTAACACAATGAACACATGCGATTATCTTCTTGAAGCTTAGAAATTAACTGAGGTTGCCACCACCTATAAATCCCATATAAAAGTTGGACATGTTCAAAAAATAGGGACCCAAATTTTCTGTTAAAAAAATTACGATAAAATCTTTTTCCTATACCGAAAACCTCACGCGAGATACGCATAAAACCGTCATGTATTGCTATATTTGCCCTTCGTATAGATTAGGATATCGGTCTGATGATTGGCCCAAAGCCTGGTCAGTTACACCAACAAAGTTTCTATGACCACAGTAAGAATTTTGCATGGGGAAATTCTAATTTTTGAAGGATTTGTACTGCAAGAGAGGTTTGATGGAGAAGTTAGGCCCGTTTCAAACGTCGCGCTTCTCATGTGCCGAACGCATTGGGAACAATAGATAATGAGGTATTTCAGCTGATTATCTATTGTTTTTAATGCGTTCGGCATATGAAAAGCGCGACGTTTGAAACAGGCCTAAGTTTCCTCAAACATTTCTTGCAAATCTGTCGAAAAACAAGGCTTTAGATGATGTTTACACAGAAAACAAGGCTTTAGATGATGTTTTAACCGTCCGGACGAACTTTGGAACAGATAGTTCTTCGGAATGCATCTGGTTATAAACGCGAGCAAACAGACCAAGTCCCTATTTCTCCGATCCTCTTTTGTCCTAATAACATGACGTAGCGCACGAAAGAGAGAGAATGGCATATTTTACATCATTTGTGTTTGTGAAGCCAAGACGAATACCGTTTTCGTACCAGTTTTCATACCATGTTATTCAGGCACCATTTTTGGTGACAGAATCAACACTTTCGGAGTAGATTCAACTCCTTCGAATTTAGAGTGTAAATACAGTTTTTTTCCCCACGTATCTAATCAAGTTATCATAGAACCATAACTCTTTCAACCGAAGTCAAAACACGATTATAGTTCGCACTCCTCGCAGCTTCGTGTTAACCGAAGGGAATTGTCATGCACTGGACGTCAATCTCTGCCATTTTTGGCTTCGCTTTTTGCACTCAAGTTCTTACTCCAGATTCATATTGAGCTCACTGGAATGGCGCGCAACGTATTCTAATGCACACCAAATGGTATCATATAAATGCGAACATGGGGCGGGTCTGTTCTCTGCGTTTATACACACAAGTGAATTTTCAGACGAACTATCTTTTATTTTACCAAGTGACATTTTCCATAATTATACAACAAACACGAGTTCACTTGGCAAAATACACCTCAAAATACACCTTTAAACCATTTTGTTCGTATAAGCGATGGCAACTCTAGGTTAAAAAAGTTATCATGAATCCCATAATTTACTTTATAATACACTACAGATTAATCCATTAAATTAGTGTATACAATGTCATGTACTGAATTTGTACCTCAATTTAATTCATATACATCTTGTTAAAAATCAGTCCTACCAACAATTTATCTAGTACCTCATTTACTAAGGGTTGGCAGGGTTTTCGAAGACCCGATATTTCTAAAATCGACTAATTCATTAATTCTACACACTGCTATGAAATACAGCTATTTGTCAAAAATAATTTCATGTTAGAAAATAGGCCTTCTTTTTGATAATTTTTGGATACACTTTATAATCCATCTATACTGTTTCATGTAAAATATATTTATTGCACACAGCAGCCATTTGGTTCCTTCACCTTAAGACGTCTTGTCGGCTTATACTTTTCCAGATATGATAGCTGTGTTGCATTAATAGCACCACGCCTTTGCCTAGGAATTTAGCAAAGCAATTAGTCAATGTGTGATCATAATAAAGAGGGACTCATCAGGGTACACTGCCAGTTAAAGGGTTAAATTAACAGGATAACTAAATTTTGTGGTTTTGAATAAGACCTAGGGTGATGTTGGTCTCTCTCCTTGCTAGAGCAAAACAATATCACAAGGTACATCAAGGCTTAACTGGCGACACGTTTCATGTGCAAAAATTTTGATGCCGATTGATGAAATGAACATGATCATTGTATTTACCTTCTAATCAAATCTACAGCATCTTCAAATTTCATTCCAGCTTCTATTAATGCTATTGCAACCAAGACTGGTGCCCTATAATAGGAGGAAGAGTTATGAGGTAACTTGACAGAATTATACGACTAGAGAGTACAGTAGAATAGTGGATTACAATAGACTAATCACATATTCAGTTTACTCTGCCCAGCAAAGCAAGACAAACAATTGCACATTTCTCATCCATCTGACCAAAATGAAATCAATTTGTTCTAACAGGTGTATGTACCACAGAATACCACGGTACCACAGAATACCAGTTTTATTTATTTCTTATATAAAATTTGAAGGAAATATGCTATAAACTTTATTTTTGTGATTATATATTAGTTTTAGTCTTAATTGACATATAAAAACAAAAAATGTATATTTTCTTAAAAAATCTTAAAAATAATGATTAACAAAAAGTAACATTCTATATTTTTGGTACTTTTTTTCGCATAATGCCTATAAAATCCGAATGTTTAAAATTAAGTTCGCAAAAACCCCAGGAAGGAAAAATATATTGATAGATTATACTAAAAAATGTTAAGGAACCATATTATATACATTAGACAAAAGATATGGAACATGTAAATTTTGGCAGTATTCTGTGGTACATACACCTGACATAGATGACAATACCCATTCTTCGTCTAATATGTTTGATCTTCTAAGGCAGGGTGATTTGCGAATGACCAAAAGGACATGTTAACCCATCCATTGAGCACTGGTCAGTGCTGTCCCCTTGGTATTAGACAGAGTCACAGAACAAATTAGTAGGGTCTGAAATATATAATATTTTTTCTCAGTATACAACTGGGATACCAGGATTCGAAGTTTAGTACTCCCCTGAAAATCCAGTACCGGTATCCCACTTCTGGATACTGTTTAGCAGTACCATAATGGTTAGCAGTACCATTTGATAGTCATACCCCGTCCCGTAAAATGCACATAACAAACTTCTATATGCTAGTCCTCAATGAGGAAATACTGGTGGTAAAATGATAGTATGGTATTCAAAAGCTATCAGGAGCTGGTCAAATATGTTTAACATTTTTTTAATGTTTGAAATTTTCTTAGTATCCAGTCGGGATACAAATCATTCACAGTTTGGTATCCAAAACCAAATTTTTGGTATCCCATGGATATCAGCATACTGCAAATATCAGACCCTGAATTAGGGAGCATAATTAGGATGCAATGCAATTTAATGAGATATCTAGATACATGGACAAGTAATCTGCCATTAAGTGCCAGCGCTCTGCTCTTGACAATTAAAAGCATCATTATAACCCATTAAGTGACAGCACTCTTCCCCTGACAAGTGAAAATGTCTGGCGTTAGACAGAGTAAAACAATAAAGTTGGGCACATTGCCACATAAAGGGTTAAATATTTACCTTCCTAGTCCTGCAACACAATGCACTGCAATACAGGATCCTGTTTTATCATGGAATCTCACTTTGATAAGTTCCAACCAGTCTTCCACCACTGTCTTTGGTGGGGCTGCACCATCTTCAAATGCCCAATCCTGGCAAAACAGCAGAAATAGGTCAGTTGAAATTACAAACATGTAACAGAAGGTCCTGTTTACACAACACTGGGTACACAATGTTTACACAAGTGTCAACATTTTGGTAATATAATGTTGTCTCTCGCAGGGGTCCAAAATTTTTTTCTCAGTATCCAACTGGAACAAAATCCAGTATCCCACTTCTGGATACTCAGGTTACCATTTAATTTACCCTGTCCCATCCAAATAAGTTTCTGTCACTTTCACTGTTACAAATTACAATAACAACAGGAGATTCAACGGTCAACAACTAGACAAGTCATTAATGAAAAAAAAATGCACATAATATAAGGAAAGGCTTGGGTGCATGCTAAACATTTCCCTAACATTTGAAATTATCTTAGTATAAAGTTGGGATATAAATCATTTACAGTTTGGTACCCAAAACCAAATTTTAGTATCCCGTGGATATCGGGATAAGTGCTCCTGAGCACTGTAAAATTCAGACCCTGTCTAGTCATTTTTTACATGACACTGGATGGATTTTGTTCGGCATATTTGTTTAATTAACCCTTTAAGTGGCAATGCACCCTGATGCACCCTACTTTAGTATTTTACTCTGTCAGACAATTTTACTTGTCAAGTGGAGAGTGCTGCCACTCATTAGGTTAATGTTTGTCTCTAGTTGCTGTTCTTGAGGTTGAGATATATTTTTTTTTCAGTAATATAACTAATAAACACAAAACATTTCTGTATGGGTTGAAATAGTATCCCAATGCAAATAGCACACAGCTGGAGAAAAGAATAAAGGCCTGGTCGCATTACACAACAACTTGGAAACACACGCTAATTGTCAAAAAATTATGATTATCATCCAAATGAAAAGAAATTGCTCAGGTGGACGATTTTAAAATAATTATCGGTAAATTGTATTATAGTGTGACAGGGCCTTAAAATCTCAAAATATGCAAAAGAAAGTAAAATCCCACTCTAGTCAAGACTCTACTCTGAAAGTAGGTCAGGTTAAGCAATCACAATACTGACCAATTTGCAAAACAAGATGTCACACAATTTTCAACATGTTTCCCAGAATGCTGAAGGAAGTCATTACATTTATGAATTGATCAAAGTGAAAGAGAATAGAGGAACTACTTAAAATTTTCAAAATTCTATTCTATATTCGCATGTATGTTGAAAAATGGCAAATGACAACGTTGACACTGTTTCGCTTCCAGCTATTCCATGGAATTGAAATACAACAGGCGACAAAATGTGAAACCAACAAATAATATGATCGGCCAATCACATGTTACCAGCCTCAAGCCGATCGGCTGGGCTAATATCGAAACCCTTCATCTGTTTTTGTGCTTGATATAATACAAACATTATATTTTCATCTGAGAATGCAAATGTTTATCCTTAGATGCAAAACACAATGTTGCCAGGACTGTAAAATGTCACATTGGCAATATTTAATAAACACCCACCTCTAAGAAAACAAGACCTGCCTAATAGCTATAAGGCATTTAAAAATGATCTCAGATTTCATGTCTAGTTTATTCTCTTCCGCTTTTGAAAAAAAATCAAACAAAAAGTCTCTGGCCAGATTTTTATAGTCATCAAAACTAGCCATTACATATAATGCTTGCCTTTATTCAGATTTCATTCGGACATGATTCTACGGCCTTTTTCAACATGTGTATATCGAAGACGAATAATTTATATACCGGAAAAAAACTCCCATATATTTTTCCTGAATTCACGTCCCCGAGACCGATTAGGAATTTGTGAATAGTTATTAGCTTAAAAGCATTCACTTACGAGATATTTCAAGTTAAAATACTTGGCTCATTACAAATTTCTTTTAGCGAGAGCTGAGAGCTTTATAAAAGCTAATTGCCAATCGGCCCATTCAAAGACACGCAAGGGCGTACGAAACCGAAACCTTTTTAATTTTGAAGTATTGTTTCGCCTCAAAATACGATGTATACTTACTAAAACGCTAATTCCCTCTTTCTTCAATGGCTCTACATTGTAAGTTGGCTCACAGACTCGTACAACATCGTGTACATCGCGTCTTTTCAATTCCTACACAGCACAAAAGAATGCATGTCGAAATTAATTTCATCGCGAAATTCGCACACTGTATACACATTCGAAAACAAGGCTGGGTTTAAAACTTTAACAGTACCTCTATGTACGTTTTAAGATTCGCATTTGTAGGCCTGTCCATGATCATAAATCGCATTTTTTTGTACTCTATGACCGCCGGAACGCTGGGCGTGCTTCGTCGCGTTGCAGGAAGAATTCCACCGACTTTCGTCTCAGATGGCGTCTTCATGCTTATAATTTAAAACCCAAAATTTCTACCAAAAAGTCCCCAAACTCTAATCGCTTTTCACCGTCCTTTATATCTTCTAAGTTACGCTTCTGCCCTCGCCGTTTCTTCTTAGCCCATTCGTATCGCAAGTAAAACGGGCAATCGCAATTCGTAAATCACTCGTGTTGAGCTTGGCAAAATTCTCCACTGTCTTTCAAGAAGTACTCCATAAACTTCTGAAATCTGCTCCGAAAGCCGAAGAGCTAGAAACGAAATCGAGAACGATTAATCGGCGAACATCAAGGCCATTTACAACTAATATCATCTAGCTTCACTTTGGACAGAACAGAGCTAATACAATGTCATGAAAAAATTGTTGTGTAAGCATGAAATCACAACTGCTCACGACAGAATCGGACAGATTGAATCGGCTTCGCTTTACAGACGATTGCTGCCTAACCGATCCTACTAAAAGCCTGATACCTCGGCATATACTTACATAGTAACCTTTGCTCATTGAAGACAAGATCCTTTTGTGAAAACAGGCCCCAAAATTTTGGGAAAGTCTTTGCCACAATACTAGTGATCAAGGACTGAAAGAAAAATTTTCTGATCAAAAAAACTTGTTTTCGCTTGCAAGAGCCGGTTGCCTTGTGACGCAATAAACCGGAAATAAATTGCCCTGCTGAGCATCCACTTTGAGGAAGAAAATGTTTGGAAATTGCAAATTTAAATTGCACACATTTTTGAAAGAATCGTGAGCAGAAAAGTAAGAAAATTCTATAGGAAGATATAAAGATATGAAGCTGTTATGATTTCGTGCCTTTCGAGTGTTTTGAACTGGTTTTGAATCGAAAATAATGATTTTGAGATTGAAATTCGAAATACTTGGTGAAAATTATACTTTGCAAAAGTGGAAACAGAATTCCAGAAGAGACTGGAAATTAGCGCGTTTCAAAATTTTTGTTTTCGAATTTTCGAATATTTCCGCATTTATTTACGTATTATTTTCGATTATTTATCTGTCTCCTTGAGAGAATATGAGTCTGGGAATGCTTAGACCGTACAAAAAGGTGAGAAAAGTGCGTTAATACGACCATATTTAGGCTTATTACGTATGCGAAGGGGGAAGGTTGCAGTTTGATCGACCCTCGTGGTGCAATCTTGCAAGACGTGACGTCATAAACGTCCTGTTTCGGTATTGCATAAAGTTTGGTAATAAGATAAGAACGGAATATTTAATAAAGTTGTTGCTATGAGCCTAGTTTGCGGCCCGTTTTAAACAGGATGCCCGACTTAAACAATTTTACTTCACATCAAAATTGGGCCATGCAGCCTGCCTGTAAATCTGTAATCCTGGGATCTCACCAGTGAGCTCTATTTATGTCTGGAGTGAGAACTCGGGTGAAAACAGTGAACCCAAAATTGAAGAAATTGAGGTCTGTCCTGTGCCAGTTTATCCCTGCTGTTCTTGTCTGCACAGTTGACACATGGCTGCAAGGAACATGCCAAAATTTTGTGTTTTGACTTTGATTTAAGACTAATGTGATTCATGTTTTCGTTCAATCGCTAGCTACTCTGGTTTTATAAATGAATGCAAAGCCCAGTCGAGTTGTATTCACAATCCAGGAGGCCCACCAAGGGGTTATGACCAACAGGCGACATTCCTTAAAAAGAGGCGACAGACTATCTAAAAAAGAGCGACAAACGACAGCTTCTGACTGGGAAAGAGCGACAAATTGCGATTTGTGTTATGGGTCAAAAGTGACAGCAACAATTATTACAATAAAACAAGCGACAAAGCAGCTACAAAATTAGTGACAAGGGACCTAGGTTACACCCTTGGTGGGCCTCATCCAACATTTTAACACTCCAGTCTAGTGTCTTCATCAGGGATATCTGAAGTTACAACATTGCTTCTTATATAGCCATGGGATGACATCATCTGCCAAAAGGATGGATATATTTTTGTGGCAAATAAGCACTATCATCCCTATTCAAAGCATGATTACTCATACTATATTACATACTTTGAATTGTAGGAATGACGGTATGGTTAGCCAGGTTATATCTGATAAAGCCTGGACTGTATTAAAACCAGGTTATATATATCCTGCCTAGAGCTTTATAATAAACTAGCTTAGAAATACAATAATTTGTCTGTTTTCTATAGAGCAATTTGTCATGTTAGAACAACAACCCTTACAGTAATCCTTCCACTATCCTGCTGCGGTATCGATAATCAAACAATGTCTGCTTGAAAGCATATGAAACGTGTCGAGATAAAAATGTCTTATTGTTCGCACACACTGAGCTGTTCTGTTTTGCACAGAAGCATTTTTGTATATGTAATTTTGAGGTAAGGATTTACTGCTAAAAGATCTCTGGGTAAGCAGGGTGCGATAATTCACGTACTGGGGGTACGCCAATATTACTGTCTGTTACATCTAATGGTTTAAGCCTGAAGTACCATGTAGGTACGTGCGGAACTTTTGCTATCTGCGTACTTACTTTTTTACTGTTCAAAACCGTCGGTACATGTCTGACATTTCTTGGCATGAAACATGCTTGGACTAAGCAATGTTAGAGTTGATTGTATAGTGTTTGTATATATGCCATTGTGCTACTTGTTATAACTTTTCACTGTTTTCAGGTTGCTGAATGAATACCTTTCAGAAACCTGTGCTTTGTGTAATTCATTTTAAAGACTAAGTACACCTTGAGTCTTAAGTTTTAACCAGCTCAGGTACGCGGCAATACTCATTGGCCTACCAGTCTACTACGACTAAAAATCTTGAATTATCACACCCTGGGGTAAGAACTAATTGTTGCTGAGCAACATATCTGAAAAAGTCAAATACTGTATCTAGAGGACTATTGCAGTATTCAAAAGTCCATTGGATTAAGGCGAGGGCTGAACACTTGTTATTCATGCTATGAACCTGTGGTATGTCCACATGAATCCCAGATCGAGAAAGCTTCAGATTGATAGGGATACAGATATTGCACAGCACACTCCCTATCATGGTTTTTCAGTGACTGCATGGTTACATTGTGAATAGATACTATTAGAAAGATATGTAGAACCAGAAGCAGACTGAGGTAGACAAGTACAAGGAGAATTAACTTCAATGTTTCGAGCAAATGCTCTTTGTCAGAAAGTTAGTAGCATTTCTCCTTGTATTTTCCAGGTAGTTGCATTGTCAATCCGAAGCTTTCTAATTATTGGCACTACCACAGGTCATTCAAGATTCAATCTCAGATAGTCTGTTTGCAGGTTAGAAACATGCAAAAATGCCAGAATCAGGTGAATCTTGTAATAATTGGGAGTGCCAGCTGTTGGCATGTCCTTGTCAAAAGCATTTCAAATTTATAAATGAAAAATATTCTTTACTTGTACAAAAGTCTTTATAGCTCTGACAAAATTTTTTTTAACATGACCAGGATGGCCTATAGCTTCACCACTGCAAGTCCCGAACTATGTTTGGCATTGCTTTATATATATTTGCTATCAGTATCCATAATGTTAATTTGTTTGTTTGCTTGCTTGGAATCAAAGCATTTGTATTTATTGAAAAATAATATACGTTTGCATTTGAGCAGAAAATCTGGCTGAACGACATGCAACACTTTTTCTCTTGACAAATATGTGCGTGCTTAATTCAGAGATCAAGTCACACGAGAGAGAGACGATGATATAGTTGGCAGTCACATTTTTATGAGGGACATTTCAAGCTAGAGATGAGACAATGGGTTGAAATAGTGTTAAACAGCTAATCAAGATTGCGTGACTTGGCACTCTTTCGTCCTCGTAATTTCAAGTGTTTAATTGTTTTGGGGTGCGACGTATTTGATCAAGCGTCGTTATTTTTCAAGAGTCTATATTTGGGTTATTTGCAAGGCGCGATTATTTCATTTTTGAGCCAGGTTAGTAATCGGAACTAAAATGCACCAGAAAAATTACCGCGTGTAGATCCCCGAAACTGGAAATTTACCCAAGCAATTTATTATGCCAATTGGCAATCTAATAACGAGAGATCCAAGTAGATTGTAAAATGTTCGGAGAGAAAGGTTTAATATACTTAATAGTTCTCTATTTGGTAGTTTGTAGATGGCTTCCTGAAGGCCAATGAAAATTGATATCATGTTTCTCGTCCACAATTTTCAAAAATTTGGAGCGAGATTTTTTCATTTTTCATTATTTTTTGTATTTGAATTGCTTGTCAATAATGCGAGGTTGGTCAATATAATTTCCTTGAACCAGTAAAAAACCTCATAATATGAAGTAAATCGGTGTATAATTAATTCATTTTAATTTAATACATCCTGCACTACATTACTATACATACCAGGGCTGACATGAAAAATAGAGGCATTCTGGCGAGTAATATCTTTAGAAAGATACAATTTGTGTTGCGCTTGCGGAATGCAGCAATAAGTCTTTGATCTGGAGATCAATTTGGTGTTTTGTTAAGCCTATTTTTCAAAAATAATGAAGGCAATGAAAAATTTTCGTGCGGCAGATAAACCCCATGCGGACGGGGACGAGAAACATGATATCAATTTTGATTGGCCTAATTAAAAGTATATGAAATCTGAACTGCATATGGAGTGAACCTTCGAATTACGTTTGCATTCTTTTATGAAATTTGGTGGCTCTTAAAAGAGCCGTTTGTTTGAGATTATTCTTTAGGAAGCGATCATCTATCCACCAAATCCGTAGAGGGTTCGTCCTTGTCGTTTGAGAGCGTACACAACATCCATGGCAGTGACGGTCTTTCTCTTGGCGTGCTCGGTGTAGGTGACGGCATCACGGATCACGTTCTCGAGGAAAACTTTGAGAACACCGCGAGTTTCTTCGTAGATCAGACCCGAGATACGTTTTACACCACCACGACGGGCAAGACGACGAATGGCGGGTTTTGTGATTCCCTGGATGTTGTCTCGTAAGATTTTACGATGACGCTTGGCGCCTCCTTTTCCAAGACCTTTGCCTCCTTTACCACGACCAGACATCTTTCAATATTTTCTTTCTTTAGTTTCCTTGAGGTTCTTCTAAACTGTAGAATTGGAGTGGAATGATTTTCAAATCTCTTCCAACGCTTATATATGGTTAGGTTTTCGTGTCGGACGTCTGAGAACACACAAACTTATTAGTATTCCCGTCGTTATTGATTGGTTCAGAAATATGATGGCTCATTGGTTGGTTTTCTCGTTATGAATAACATTACCTGCACTGATGTGTTTTATGTTAATTTTGATCCTGTAGCTCTCTCAAGCTCGCTTTAGTTGTTTCCCTAACTGCTTTGGCCCGGTCAAGACTTTGGTTTGATTCGGCTTGTTTTAAAATCATCAGTTTAGAACTGGTTTAAAATCCGTAGCATCAAGAACACGGGTTAAAATTCTGTGACTGTGTATATAAACATAGATGGATACAGGTGCAAAACAAATTTAAACTCGTCACAAATCCAGAAGTAAAACATAAGTAGCTGTTTTTGTCACATCGGCGTACTGGATTAAGTATATCTTAAAGGGAAATAGCAATATAAATTTTTATTATCTCATTTGAAATAACTTATGAAAGTATATATGTGGCATTTATTAAAGTCAAAGCCGGAACTCCCCATGCACTATTTCCATCAAAATCCGCCTTGGTTGAATGCATGTAGCAATAACGGACATGCCTGTAGAAAATAGGAAGTTATGGAGCGACGCTACAGTACCTCGAAAGTCTAAAGGGCTAACTCCAAACTAGTAAAATATACACTTGAGTAACTTGTGTAATTCAAAATTAACTGAGTTGAAATATGAATTGTTGACTGAGTTGCTGGCTAACTCGAAAAATCATTGACATTGGAGCTACAATCTTGGACAAAACCCTTGAGAACACTCTAGCTAATATTACAAAGTTATTGAACATTGACAAAACAAGCAGAAGTGCTCCCCCCAGTGCAATGTTGTGAACAACGCCGAAACAACTTTTGGTAATATACCATGATACAAGCTCAACATTAAGTTGGGGGAGCGGGGGTTTAAGAATGGCAACATGATTCAACATGGAGTTTATCATAAAAATACGCGAATTTTCTATAGGGGGAAAATAGTCTCAACCAGTTATGTCCAAGATTGTAGGTATAACTCCAAAAAGCATGAAAAATAAGCCTCGAGTTACGGGGTGTAGCGAGGCGAGCCAGCCTAGACGCTAGATATGTAAGCCTGAAGTTACTTGCTGTGTTGCTAACTCCAAAAATCATTAGGAGCTAGTTATTGAAGTTATCTAGCGTAACATTTGGTATTTTGTTCCCGTTGAGAGGCTAAATTTTGATCTGCAGTTGCGGCGCAACCCATTCTCGTGCCCCTCCACCCTTATCATGCTCTGTTGACTGCGTGTAAGACGGGCTCTGGGTACGAGAATGTGCCAATAGCCTAATTCCATTTGAAGATTGGCTACCACCACAAAAATAAAATCTATACAGGTATGATAACAGACACATACAATATACTATACAAGAACTGCCGTGCGATAATATTCGACCATAAATAAATAACAGAACAATTAGACGACAATGCTACATTAAGCAGAATGTATTTCGTTTAATGGCAAAAATTTAAACCAATATGATAACACTAATGTATAATCATTTGTGTATAATGTATACAAATAACATACTATTGTTATTTTCTACGTATAAGCAAGCAAAAAGTTCCTTGATATGTGACAGAAGGTCATCTCATGGACGGCATGATCCTGGAAGGCGCACAGGTTTGTTGCCTTGACAACACATCTTCTTGCCAGGATTAATGTAGTTCTGGCCACAGCACCTATGGCTATGCCCGTCATTTTTCTTGCTAGAAACTTTATCACAACAGCAAACTTGAGTGGCTGGGTCATAAGCCGTATTACCGCAAAATTCTCCTGAAATACAGGTAATATATTCATGATGAGACATTGAGTGATTTGACCTACGGTATAATCAGTAGTGTAGAACTGAAACATGAACAAATGTCTATATTAGGGCTGGTTTAAACCATGGATTGTAAAATAAATGGATAGCAAACTAGCTGACATGACCTAATGTTTTCAATGGGATGATGGCGTTGTTGAATGTTGAAACCTAGTTGCAAACCAAATTCTCAAAAACGGCAGGTTTAGCAATAATACAGCTAAACATTTTAGTCAAAGAGCAAATAAATATAACTACGCCATTCTACGATGAAATCTCTAAGTATTTCCAGTCAATTTTAGCAAATATTTCAAGCACTAAACAGTGAAAAATCCATCCCAAATTTCGTTAAAATTGGTGCATGACGCCAATTTCGTAGCTACAAATGTAAAAAAAAATACAAAACAAAGACGAAAAACATTTACCTTGAATACCTTGTCGTGGTTAGGCATATTTTTAAAACAATAAGACCAGTTTACGCTTCAATAGCGAAACAACAAAAAGCCGAGAACTTTGGCAACACGCGTGACGTCACAGATTGCAACTAGGTTTAGACTGTGACGTCAGCTAGTGTCCGATCCATTTATTTTATTATCCATGTTTAAACTATCAAAGTTTCTGTGAGTTTTGCATAGGTAAACTCTAATTTTCGAAGAAACTGACAGTCAGTGCATGTTTAACACCTCAAACATTTCTTACAACTTCTTCAAAACTTAGAATTTACCAACGCAAAATTCTTACTGTGATCACAGAAACTTTGATAGTGGAGACCAGCCTTTCGTTCCGCAACTTATCGTGCTAACGTTATCGTGCTGACAACTGACAGAGAGACGCACATGCATACACACACACACACGCATACTGTAACGGTATATACAAATGCGGACGAAAACATAATGTCCTGGCGGAGGTTACGAGGCTAAGCGAAAGTTCGTATTAAATATCTTGAATCTTTTTTTCAAAGTGAACTGGACCCACCTGGGACAACAATCTTCACAGGACATTCCAGATCAAACTTGTTTGCCACTCTGTACTTGTGTGTGACAGTAGTTTCACCAGCATAGAACCATCCACTGTGCGCCCTACTCGGGTTTGGCTTGGCCGGGCAATTTGGCGCAGGTTCGGTCCAACTGGCATAGGATGTTTTGTCCACACCGGGCAAATGATGTGCTTGCACTGTTTGGATACTGGGACATTCGCAGGCTAAATGAAGAAATTAAAACACGATGTTTAGGAGGAGCGGGAAATAACGAAAATTATATAACTTTGAAAGCATCGATTTTTCCAGTTTTAGCATAGTTCAAGCAAAGACTAAAAGCTCAAAATTCTTATCTGCACTTTGATACAAAATAAGGTTTGTAACGGTAGAAATGTTTTAAAGCGCTTTTTTGATGTTGAAGAGCGCTGTTTTCTTCGTGTCTTCAGCCGTCCAAATTTTTACCATTTTCCACGATATAAAATGAAAATTTTTCATATCTTCGCCTCAAACAAATCTAAAACAAGTCAGGACTGTTGATAATACCAGGAGGATTGAATACTTGAATTGTAGCCAAAAGGTAAAACAATAGATTTTCTTGGTTTTACATCCGGGTATAACTCAAATTTTCCCCCATTAGCAAGCTTTAACTTGTCCCTTTCGTTTGCCTGACATTTTCCTGCAACGCCCACTCTTTTGTTTTACCATCTCGATGTCAATTTGTGCCTTTCGTTTGATTAAATCTATCTCGCATTGCTCCCTCTTTTATAATCTCTATGCGAATTGCAAGATGCTGATTAAAAAGTTGTAAAAGATCTTTAGTTATTATCACTTACTGGCAACAGTGACCTGAACAGGACATATGAGATCTATATTCTTTCCAGCATTGTTAGTGTACGAGCTCGAATAAGTAATCACGTGTTTGCCCAGGCCAAATCTATCTCCAGACTTAGCATCAGGTGGATTCATGGTATAAGAAGCACTCCCGGTGCATTCCATTGCGTCCAACCATTCGACCTGTGTTGTGATTTCACCTTTTTTCATATAGGCTGTAACTGTTGCAGCACTATCGCCTTTGCAGGAGCATTCACCTGATGAATGAAAAATGATACTCATGTTGAAAGTAAATAGCAATGGAAATATATTTCAAAAGAAAGCTTCTCACAGATTTTTTTACCGTTCTTGGCCATGGTTTAAAAAATATTCGCCATCTTGGATATGCATGACTCTGGTCGGATATGAATGACGTCACAATAAGGGAACAGTATACACTTAATTCTGTTCCCGAGGGAAATAATTTTGTTTTCCCGAGAGTCTCAAATTTATATAGCGACGAAAGAAAAATCGACAACATTCATGCAGCAAATCAACAATTGTATTTAATGACTAAAATTCTATAGGTTAAATGAATTTGAAATTAAAAGAAACAATTTTACTAATTTTACTAAGTTCTTTACGGGAATTTACTTATTTTCCCTAGATAATTATAAAAAATTAGTCTAACATGCAAGTTGTCTATTGGCTTATGGCGTAAATTTTTTCAGCACTTACCTGCTTCTGGTTTGCACAAAGGATTAAATAGCTTATTCACTAGTTCGTCCACATCTTTTTCCAACGTATCCCACGATGTTTCTGCTACTTCGCTTGAGTCTGTTACCCAGCTTTGAATGTACTTCTTGAACGTTTTAATCTGCGCGGGTATTCCAACTGCCACGCCGACAATTGTAACGTCCTTCTCCTTCAGTTTATTCGTTTCAGTTTCAACAATTTTTCTCTCCCCGTAATTTCCGTGTGGGCTATGTGGTTCTCCGTCGGTGAACAACAATATAACATCCTCTACTGTATTGCGGGCATTTGAAGGACTTTTTAAACTAAACATCTTTAAAAACAAGTTGTTTTAATGTGGCTCGAAACATTTTTTAGACAATTATTTTGACAAGGAGAGAAAGTTTTCAAATTAAGTAATTGTGATTATTCGTAATAATCCTTTTTGGCTCAACAGAATTTTTTCAAATTACTGATTAAGATAATTGAGTATACTGAAAGAAATCATTCTATGAAATAACATTTGGGAGTTGCCAATGTCGATTTTTATTAAAGCCAAAATATCCGCCATTTTGGAACGTCATTGTTGCCATAGCAACGGCAGCGGTAATAAAATCTCCCCTTGAGGTGCCTCAGAATTGAATGAAAAATTCAAACTCTGAGGCAACTTAATTAACGGGAAATTTTATTAGTTGTATGTTGCTAAAAATTAATTGGTCAGTTAAATTTTATAATTTAATCCAATAGTTTGGCTAAGTCCATTGACAACCTTGTAGAACGTATGTACGTTCATGCATTAACTATGTCGATAACAAGTGACAGTTCTTAATATACAGTGTACTACTTAAATATGGTGTGTTTCTACAAGCAAAACGTTGACTTACATTGTTTGCTATCTGAAATGCAAGACCTGTCCTGGTATAATCGCCCATCAGTTCTCTTTCATAGCTAAGCTTCTCCAACCAATCTATTAATTCTGTTGCATCTGTTTTTTCGCCAACGTCCAACAATTTCTTGGTTCTAGTTGAATTTGAGAATGTGATGAAACCAATTTGTGTGCCGTCTTTACGCACATTCAATTTTTCGACAAGTGTGATTAGGAAATTCCGTATGCTCTTGAAATATAGTGCACCGACAGATTGCGAACTGTCCAAAACGACAAGAATATCTTTGCGGCAATCTAAAATAATAATTGTTTGGCATCATTGGTAATGGATATTAAGTACAGCATATGCATGTAAAGGTAAGAACATTGGTAATATATATAATATATGCAAGCTATATATAACATTGTATAAAGACGATAAATTGAATACAATGATAAAGCCCCCCCTACTCGTTTTGTGAATATTATATCATTAATTATTCATTAATTAATTATTCATAACTTCCAAAATAAAAAATCTTTACATGAAAATCTTTGTCTAATATGAATAACAAAGATCTACTGTATTAGCCATTTTCCAAAGTCCTTGGTCTAGTCGCGCAATTCTCATGTTGGATATGGCAGCACACTGCATTTAAATTAAATGTTTAATGTAAAAAGGATATATTTTAAATTTTTGGTCGTCTAAAAAGTTGATATTTTATAGTAGATACTTCTATACTCTTTCACATATTTGACGCCTGTCGCCATTATTTTGTCCCTCCAAACGATCCCAGAATGCACTGTGATCTCTTTTGGGAAAAGGCTATAGGCTGACTACTTAGACGCATGCACGTGACTAATTTTGTTTACGTACCTGGAATTGGATTTTTCTCTATGAATTATTAATTAGTTATTAAATTAGGTTTTACTGACGTGTTATACCGTTTTCAGGTTTTGATGTTGGTTGTACTCCAGGTCCACCGAGTTGACGTCGCCAAAGATCGTAATCTGTTTTGAGGAAAGAACACACAGTTTGAATCAGTACAAGATCAGTCATTATACGTATTAGCCATAACAAAGCTTCCGATCCCGTTAATTAAATAATTTTTGTACTAGCATATTTTGTTTTAAAGCGAAATAAAGAAAGGTAAACTTAAAGGAATATAATTACTATTATAAAAAGAATCAAACTTTTTAAAATATGACGTCTAATTTTTTCCCGAATTCAACCAAAATTTGATCAATTTGTCCTTGGCCAATGGCCCTTTGTTAAAATCTAAGAACAACAGTATACTGAGGCAATAATAACATGGACGCAACTGCACACTGCTGGAATGGAACCGCGGTCGAAGAGGCACTAACCTCGAAGCACCATGGGTCCGTGCAATACAGAAACCTAAATGCAATTATTGATTTAATAACACATACCATCTGTATCATCATAAAGCCCGAAAGCTAAACTGTTATGAACAAACAGCGTCAATAGTATCAACCACTGCAGCATCATCTTCAGTATTTCACTTCAGTATTTCAATTCTCTTGCTTCTTGAAAGATGTCTGTTCTTGAGCTCTTCTCTCGTCGAATGGCAAATGGCTGCAGCCACCCTGCTTTTATACTCTTTGCCAGCTTCAAAATGGGCTGATATTTCTGACAGTAAATTTGACCGTTATTTTCCGTTGACATTTTCTGTTATTTTCGATGCGCATGGCCACCCGAATTGACCAATATAATTTTCAATGGCAATATCGATGATGTGAGGGGAGGAGATTCGTATGAATTTGATGCGCGCTCAAATAGGCTAAATAGCGGTTTATCATTCAGGAAATTTGCATTCACGCGTTTTAAGATATTTTTGTTGAATATTTCAAATGGAAGTATTTTTCAAATATAGTGGGTCGGATAAGTGAAAGTATTGTACATTTTGTAAAGAAAGCACCATATTGACAGGATGTGTAGACTTTGACATAAGTTGAATATCAGATATGGAGGCATCTGTAAAATTAATGCTAACAGAAAAAAATAAGGAATTTCTGACATTTTATTATAATTTCTATTACTCCTCCAAATCTTAAAATTCTAGCTAAAGTACTTCACAAAAAATGAGTTCTATGGCTGAAAAGTAGACAAAAATATCTATAGAACATTAAGCAGTTTTTTGATTTTCCATATATTTCCTGAGCTGCGACTTGTTAAGAACGGCTATTTGAAGCTAATGCCATGCAGTCTTTGCACCTATTTTTTATCTATTTTGTGCGATTTCGAAACTGATTAACTTTAAAACGACCTGGCAAATCAAAAAACTGCAGCTTTAATGTTCTATAGACAGTTTTTTTTGTGTACGTTTCAACCATACAACTTTAAAATCAGTAATTGAAATTTATCAGTAATAGAAATTTATGTTAGAATGTCAGATATTCAAAATTTTAGCTATCAGCATTAATTTCATAGATGCCTCCATTGATATTCATACTGGTGTCAAAGTCTACACATACTGTCAATATGGTTCTTTCTTCACTAACCGCGCGATATATATATATATATATATATATATATATATATATATATATATATATATATATATATATATATATATATATATATATATATATATAAATATATATATATATATATATATATAAATATATATATATATAACTATATATATATATATAACTATATATATATATATAACTATATATATATATAACTATATATATATATAACTATATATATATATAACTATATATATATATAACTATATATATATATA